ACCGTTTCGACAAAACAGTGATATATTCGGTTCATTATGAATAATTACATTTAATACCCTATTATAATTACATTTTAATACCCACTATAATTACATTTAATACCCACTATAATTATATTTAATATCCCACTATAATTACATTTAATTCCCACTGCTCTTATGTCTTTTATAATTTTTTTGTTATAAGAATAAATAATTACACTTAATACTCTACTATAATTATATTTAATACCCATTATAATTATATTTAATACATACTGTAATTATATTTAATACCTCACTGCTGTGCAAGTTTNATTATAATTACATTTAATACCCACTGTAATTACATTTAATACTCACTATAATTATATTTAATATCCCACTATAATTACATTTAATTCCCACTGCTCTTCTGTCTTTTATAATTTTTTTGTTATAAGAATAAATAATTACACTTAATACCCTACTATAATTATATTTAATACCCATTATAATTATATTTAATACATACTGTAATTATATTTAATACCTCACTGTTGTGCAAGTCTTTTGCTTTTTTTTTTTTGTAATTACATTTAATACCCAATTTAATACCCTAATGTAATTATATTTAATACCTACTGTAATTACATTTAATACCCACTGCAATTACATTTAATTTTTAAGTATACATAAGTATCATTAATTTAATTTGATACCCTTCATTATTAGTATTATAATAAAATAGTATTATTAATTGGATAATATTATCGTAATAATATGATTTGGAGTAACTATTGTCATCATATTTATGTCACATATGGAGTTTCTCTAAGTAGCTACCCAGAGCCTACACCGATGTATGAGCCTGCTCGACACTCCACAGGGGGATGGATGTAGCCATGTAAGTATGTACTCATTAGCATTTCATGTGTATTATAAGATCTTAATATTATGTAACAATGTGTTTATTTCATAAAAATTAAGTGTTTGAAACTAATTTAAGTGACTTTCTCCTCATGTCAAGCCTTTTTTCCCCTCAAATTTACATTTATTCTTGTATAAATTGATGTTAACCTAATAAATATGTTGAATTAATCAATTATTTAGCATATCTTTATAAATTAATGGATTGTATTTGTGTTTTTATGCGTTTCCATATTTTTTCTGCATTTTCATTGCGTTTCCAAAATATTTCCGAAACGTTTCTATTTTTGAGTTGACCGAAACGGTACTTCAAAATGAAATTTTGATCCTTGGATATAGGTACTCCCTTTTCTCACTTTCCTTCTTGATGCCTTTGTTTTTTTCACACTTGTTATTGCTCTGATTTTTGTTTATGTTTATCTTCTATTCACTCTATGTCTAAGCCTACCCCTCTATAAGGAGGCTACTCTTGATCCTATTTGGCAACATGCTATGATGAAGAATTTCCACACTACATAAAAATAGGCCATGAAATCTTGTGCCGAAGGAACAAAATTTTGTTTTAGTGCATTGTTTTGATCACCTAAGAAACGAAAATGCTTCAACCTGTTTCAATAACATAATGAAAAAAATTAAAAAAATTAAAAAAATTAAGAATTATTTTTTCAAAACATTAGTCAAAAAATACTAAAATATCTTGAAATATTTTGAAACATTCTGAAATAATTGTGCAAATGCATTGAAATATAACAAAATATTTTGAAACATTATGGAACACCTCAAAGTATTAAAATTTTAATTTTATCACTAATTCATTTTGGTCTCCTTAGAAACGGAAACGTTTCGGACGTTTCAACCATAGTTATTAGTATCGTACGTTACACGATACGTATCGTATACCTTAAAAACGATACGTATCGTGTTTCTATATCGTTTTTGCACCGTATTGTACGATACACGATATGATATGTACAATACGATACGTGACAATTCTTTTTTTTTATTTTTTTTTAGTTTTTTGAAAATGAAATGATATCGTTTTACCTTAAAACTTATTTTTAAATCACTAACCAGTGAAACAACGTCGTTTCAATAGTTATAGTTTAAAAAATAAAAATAAAATCTGTTGTTAATGTTATTTAATTAAATTCAAAATTTCTGATAAATATTAAGTTTGTTTAAGTATTTGATGTTAAAAGTTTGAATTAGAGGTCTTTGCATTTTAATATTACTGAATTATATTGAGAATTTGAATAGTTGATAAACTATTAATGAAATGCTATGTTATAAATATATATATGTATATATATACATATATATATTATTAATAATTATATAAAAATTAAAATTACACGTATCTTATGATACACGATACGATACACTATTTTTGAAAAATGATACGTCTTCTGATACGCGATTTGACAACTATAGTTTCGACCATTTTAAAACGATATTTTGGCCCTTACTTGTGCCTTTACCCACCAATAAGCGTGTTATTGGTTTGAATAGTTGGTAGACTATTAATGAAATCCTATGTTATTATGAGCCTATGACTTTTTTACAAAGGTATATATATATATATATATACACACACACACACATATATATATATATTATTAATAATTATATAAAAATTAAAATTACGCGTATCTTATGNGTATATATATATATATATACACACACACACATATATATATATTATTAATAATTATATAAAAATTAAAATTACGCGTATCTTAAGATACACGTTATGAAACACTATTTTTGAAAAACGATACGTTTTTCGATACGCGATTTAACAACTATGGTTTCGAACTTTTTGAAACAATATATTGATCCTTAGTTGTGTCTTTACCCACCGGCAAGTGTGTTATTGGTTATCGATAGGTATATAAGATTAAAAATAAGGCTAATGGTTATTGTAAAAGATATAAGGTTAGATTGGCTACCAAGGGTTTTGCACTGAAATATAACATTGATTAAGAAGAGACATTTGCTCCTATTGCAAAGATGACCACCGTTCTTCCATTGATTCCTGTAGCAGTCGTTTGCCAATGGAACTATCCAAATGGATGCAAGAATGCTTTTATAAACGGTGATTTAACTAAAGAGATTTTATAGCTCCTCCCTTGGTCTCCCTCATGCTCGTGGTGAGGTATGCAAACTTATAAAAAGTTGTTATAATCTCAAACAGGCTCCTTGAGCATGGTTTGAGAAGTTTTCTATTATGATCTAGATGTTTTCTATTGTGATATGTGATTTGGATTTTTGTTCCAATGATTATGAGTTTGCTCTTCTTTTTTGTTCCAATTTCAAAAGTTATATTTACCCTTCTCTTATATGTTAATGATATGATTATTATTAGGGATAATTATTAAAGTATCTCAGTTTTGAAGGCTTATTTACAACAAGAGTTTGAGACGAATGATTTTGGTATCCTTCATTATTTCCTTGGCATTAAACTAGCTCTGTTACCTAAGAACTAAGAAGCACGAACATCGACACGGGACACACATACGACACGATAGGACACAACACGGACATGTAGACATAATATTTCTCAAAAAAGTAGGGCACGGACATGTTAGGGACACGTCATCAATTTTTTATAGACATGTATCCAACATATATAGTTTAAATGATTGCTCTCATTTTTTCAACTCATCCTTTTAAAACATTTATGCATCTTCTACTTTTATTGACATGTTTTGAGTACAAAATTAATATGTATAGTCTTGATAATTATATATTTTCTTACAATATAAGACACTTACTAGTCAATTTTTTAAACTTTTTTAATCATTTATGAACACGTGTTTATTGTTTAATAGTGGACATAGTCCAAAGAAATGTCAGACACGCGTCTGAAATTAATATTTTATTATTTAATTATAGAGACGGATAAAAGAGTATTTGACACAAGTTTGAGGAGCGTTGGTGCTCGACACAGATATATCACCTTCTTGTACTTTGAAAACAAGAATGTCATTCAGATTGCACACAATTCTATTTCCAATAAGGGATCCAAGTATATCAAGATTGACTATTACCATCTTCAACTTGGAACTATTTATTTGTTTTTGTTTCTTCTACTATGCAATTAACCGACATTTTCACGAAGTCTTACAATAAGCTACATTTTCATTTTCTTCTTAGCAAAACTCTCAATACTTTCTAGTATCCATGAGTTTAAGAAGGGGTGTTAAAAAATTTTTTGTATTTATATCAATTTATCATTAGGGGCACCATAGTCCTTCTCTTGTAGTAGATTTATATATGTCAGCTCGTTTTTATGATCATAGAATAATAGAGTTGCAGACTTCTTTTCTCTTTCTATTCTTCTATGTATGTAGTTTCTTCAATGCTTATATGCAAGCTTGGTCTAAGTTTTTGGCTATAAGTTGCCCAGAAATAAAATACATGAAAAAAAATTACATGCTAGTTGCAGCAAATCTGAGAATACCAAAACACCTTTTCCTCCAAAAGCACAAGGAAACACACAAAACAGCACCGGAAACTTGATTACACCGAGTCCAAAGTGTGCACTATATAAATTTTTTAATGGTTCTAGTTAATAGTGTGCACTCCGGTTCATAATGCATTTGTACCAAATCGTTGTCTTAAGAACCAAGGACTATGTCCAATTATTCGACATAATCCAATCTGACTCGTACCAGAAGACTGAAAAAAATGGCAAAGTTTTATATAACTTGATAATGTATACATGATGCTTTCAGTTACCAAGTGCTTAGTGTGCACAAAACCATACTTCTACTTTGAGAAATGTCATTCACATTGCAACAATTGTAATATAGAAAAGATTACACACACACATACACACAGAGTGAAAAGCTCAGTGACAACCTTGATTCAGTTTCTAACTTGCATTCACTTTTATACTGGTCAGATGCAATGACATCAATCATCAAGAAATACCTTAGGTAGGAACAATACTGTCTAGGCAAAATAAAATTAATATCTGGAAAATGTAAGTTACGACTCGTTTTATCATTCAGACCTTGTTACGATTCAATATCATGGATTTATCCATAGCCTTCATAGCATACAGTTCACCTGTACCTTTCAGTTCCACCAGATGAACACTGCAGCCAATGACAACAATTTGAGCACATAAAAGTGAACCAAGTTCCTCAAAATAAAAGAAATCGTCAACACTTAAAAAATATATCATGCTTCTCTGATGGAATTTGTCAATACTGGGTTTTGTTGCACGACAAAGCCACCGTCAGATGCATTTAGCAGCAGTGTGTAAAGTTCAAAGTTAAAACAGATTAACTAATAGAAGCATATGACAAACGGAACAAGTGGCTAATTTATCTGTTTCACAACCTAAAAGATTGGATCATATGACAATCATACTGCACGAAGACTAACTTGTTTCCAACAGCACTGCTCCTCCCTACCCTTCTTTTTTCCAACAGCACTGCTGAATATGCATTTCCAACTGATTGTGTTCGGTTAACCAGTTACAAAGCCCAAAAAAAAAAAAAAAGAATTCTGATATTTTATTAATCTTTGTGTCAGATAGTTCCGTTTCTTCTATTGAAAACCATACTAGTACCTTCATAGCTCTAACTATCCGTTTATTTCTCTTTCACCTCAAAATGCCATTCTAATTTTATTTCTTCATTACTAGTCACACATCTCTCATTCTCCAAATTAAATTCCTTCAATTTCGATTCAACCTTTGTGGTTAAAAGATGGTTATTAAATTGCTTCAAGATCTAAGTTGATAATCAACTTCTGTTTCATCCTATTTCACTAACCACTTCATCTTAAGTACATCATCCCTATGAGATAATCTTTTGGCCCCTCACGCCTGTCTTCATTTCAAATGTCTAATATACCTCTCTACATATTAGTTTCTATATCACACGACATCTCTTCCAGTAGCATTTGAATAGATAATTTTCAAAGCTTATATTTTCCATGCCTTTCACTCAACCATCACCCTTTTAACCAAGTCTTTTTTCCTTTTGGCCACAACTGTTTTAGGGCTATTTAACTTCTCTTTTGCCCAAGCATGCATATTTTGGTTAAGTCCTCAACCTCTCATGCTTCATCAATTGCTCTGTAATTGGTTTTGGAGCTTACTAGAATCCATTTCATTTAATCCCCTGTTCATCTTGATCTTTATTTTTTGTTTTTGATGTGAAATACAGCACCTTAAAGAAGTCCTCATCAACCGAGGCATAGAACAATGAAGGAGCTGCCTGGGATGTTGAAGAGATAAAAACAGCAGCATAACACTTAAAACTCAACTCAACTCAACTAAGTCTGGTACCAACATCTTTGTGGTCGGCTACACGAATCATTTTTCGCCATTATGCTCTATCAAGCATAATTTTTGTTAGACCAGCAACATAACATGTGCACTGGATTAATTTCCATTGACTAGATTCGAGACAAAGAAAATCTCCTCACAAGGGATAAATAGAAAATCCTAGCACACTAATGATTATGCCGATGCAATAATACGGCAAGCCTTAAAGTGGATAAGAAGTTGTAGGTTTAAGCGACAAGAAGTATATGTATTAACAAAATGAGAATGCTTTCTGTCAAATCAAAACAATGGCTGGAATCAAGCTAATATACCTGCCAGTATCTCCGCATCCCAAAGGACGTATGGGGTTGAAATCATTTAGTCCAATTCTTTTGCCAGTTGCAGTGATCTATATCACAAAAAACAAAGATTTAGTTAGGACGACATGGATGATGTACATGCCCGCACAGATGAAGAAAAATTTTGTCACTTCCAATAGGAATTGAGGGTAAAGCTTATGTCCTATAAACTTAAAATAGTTTTGACTATTTTTTCAACAAGGAAGAATGCCTGAAGCATGTTAACAATAGCATACGTCTCTAAAAGGCACTAAGAGCTTAGTAAGTAAATGAAAACAAACTGTTATAACTTCAATTAGTAGAAACAGTTAATCAAGATATTAGATGGGGACACATGTTAGCTCGCTAAGTAGCGGGGGAAGGAGGTTACCACAAGCACAACAATAGAAATGCTGGGAAATGAAAAGCATAACCTGAATTCCATGCAATCAACACAACTAACAATTCATGCAAAAATTTACGTTGGGAAATTTTAGATCTCTATAACAAACCTACAAACAAAAATAGCTGAAAAGTTGGGAAAACCTGAAAATGGAAGCATGACTTAAGGAAATAAAAGCATTATACCCTCTGTGATTTAGCCAGGTTTCTTATTTCCCTTCAATTGGATATTTGGGCAAACTGTTAAGATTGTATTTATATTTATTTATCATTAGGGGTATTTCTGTATTTCTCTTATAGTAGGATTTTATATATAGTGTCTTTTATAACCATGGTTCAAGGTCGCAGTATCGGCAATCGACTCGGAGAGTTCTGATACACGTCGGTTGCGGTATCGCGTCGCGGTATCAGGCGATACGACATAAAAGAAAATATTGAACACGATAAGAGATTTAAGTCATACCGCAGTGTCGCAAAACCGTAACGGCCGATTCGGTGACAATAACTCGGCTACTCGGGATTGACTCGGATACAATTCGGACAACTCGGCCAAGTCGTGCGAAACTCGAGATTTATACATATCGTGTAATGATATCATCTCGGCTGGTGCCGATTCGGATATAACTTGACCGACTCGTTATGGTATTGGTCAATACTTTGTACCATGCTTGTAACTAGTTATTTATTATTGAGGAATATTAGAGAATGGTAGCATGGTTTATTCTCTCTTCCTTTTCTACAAATGNTTATGGTATTGGTCAATACTTTGTACCATGCTTGTAACTAGTTATTTATTATTGAGGAATATTAGAGAATGGTAGCATGGTTTATTCTCTCTTCCTTTTCTACAAATGTTATTTTCTTTACATGATTTGATCTAGGTTTTCATGGTATCAGAGATTCAAAGCAAGGCTTATTTTCTCTTTCTTAGGTTTTAGTTGCAATTGTTGTAGCATGAAAGTATATAAACAGTGTACATGAACACAACCGTGAACAATGTGTGAATACTCAGTTAGGGTTTTATTTGTTGGTCAAACTTGTGGCTACTATTAGGATTGTGTTGCTTGAAGTTTCTAAATTTATAAATTTTAGATTTAGCCCTAGAAGTTTTAGATATTTTCATAAAACTTTCCACATTACATAAAATTGGGGCATGGGATTTTATGCTTTTACCTATCAGTATGTGTGGTGTTGGTTGTCGATGGATGTATAAGATTAAAACTAAGGCTGATGGTTTTGTTGATAAATATAACACCAGATTGAATGGATTCGGAAGGCTTGCTAGAGGGTTTACGTTGTGGAAATGTGTGACATTGCAATTTTTTGGGTCTTATCAAAGGAAACGAATTCAAGATTTTTTGAAGATCAAAGTGAAATGTGTTTGAAGGGCTATGGAACCGTATTCATTTTATCGATTCTTTTTGGGCTTCGGTGTCTAAGGATTTTAATGATACTCCACTTTTTGTTATTTTGGCAAATTGGAGAGCTTCATGTGATTTAGAGCTCTGATTTTTATTTCTTTCTTTTGTTGCAAGTACAAACTCATAAAAATTTTGTATGGTCTCAAACAAACTCCTTAAGTGTGATTGAAAAGTTCTCTACAGTGATTTGTGGCTTAAGTTTTCACTCTAGTGATTAGAATTTTATTCTTTTTCTTCGATCTACTTCTGTTGGTCAAATTGTTCTTCTATTATATATTGAGGATACGATTATTTCTGGTTTTCTTTTCTATTTTTTGGGTATTGAAGTGGCCTCGTCGCCTAAGGGTTATCTTATTTCTCGGTCAAAATATGCAACCGATGTTATCGACATGGCTCGATTAACAAATTCTTAAACTGTTGAGCCTTGTCTCGAGCTTAATGTATATTACACTTCTACTGATGGTGTCCCTTTGGCTGATCTTATTTTGTATCAGGTTCTTGTTGGTAATTTGGTCTATCTCATTGTTACACGACCTAATATTACTTATACTGTTCGTGTTGTGAGTCAGTTTGTCTTTAATTTGACTACAATTTACTAAGCTACAGTTCTCTGTATTTTACATTATCTTTGGGCCACTTTATATTGGAGTTTGTTCTTCTGTTCCACTTCTTCTTTGGAGCATTATGCCTTCTCTAAAGTTGATGGGGCAGGTGATGCCATGGATCGTAAACCTACAACTAGTTTCTGNTTCTTCTGTTCCACTTCTTCTTTGGAGCATTATGCCTTCTCTAAAGTTGATGGGGCAGGTGATGCCATGGATCGTAAACCTACAACTAGTTTCTGTGTCTTTTTGGGTGATTCCCTATTTTCTTGGAGGAACAAGAAATACACTATGGTAACTTGCTGATCTAGGAGTTTCCTTTTTTATTCCTGCGTCTATGTATTGTGACAATAGGGGTACTATTTAGACAGCACACAATTCTGTTTTACATGAGCAGNTGTGTCTTTTTGGGTGATTCCCTATTTTCTTGGAGGAACAAGAAATACACTATGGTTACTTGCTGATCTAGGAGTTTCCTTTTTTATTCCTGCGTCTATGTATTGTGACAATAGGGGTACTATTTAGACTGCACACAATTCTGTTTTACATGAGCAGAATACGCATATTGAGATTAATTGTCATTTTGCTTGTCACTCACCATCTATTATTTGAGACTATTTCTTTGCTTTTTGTTTCTTCTACTATGCAATTGGCCAACATTTTCATGAAGTCTCACACTATACAGCGTTTTTTTTTTGTTGACAAACTCTTGATGCTTCCTATTGTTACATCATGAGTTTGAGTGAAAGTGTTAAAATTGTATTTATATATTTATTTAATGTTGAGGGTATTTCTATCTTTCTCTTGTAGAAGGATTTTATATATAGTGTCTATTGTAACTAGTTATTTAGTACTGAGGAATATTAGAGAAAATAGTAGCATGGTTTCTTCTCTCTTCCTTTCCTCCATGTGTTATTTTCTTTACATGATTTGATCTAGGTTTTCACAAGACCAAGATACTAAGATGAGAAACATCAATGCAAGTAATATACTTTAAGCTGGTCATTATTTTATGTCTGACTAATATGTTGAAAGTTGAAACCAACCTACCAAAGATCTATGCTGTTTTTCCATTCCATATTTGATTATAAAATTGGAAGGTAAAAGAACTAGAAGAACTTGAGTGACTGGATGTCGTTTCAACAGTTGAGCAGATCAAAATACAAATTCACTGTTCTGAAAAAATGCACTGTACTGCAATAAACTACAAAAGACAAGAATGCCATTCTCATATAAGAAAAATCCTTGTCCACTTCCAAGATGCAAGATTGATCAAGAAAGAAAGCTTTGCAGTTAAATGAAATAAATTCAGTTGATCAAATGCTTTCATGAAATGACATAAGCATTTGTGCTAGCCTTAGTTCCAACTTCAAAGGAACCATAATGCAGAATCACAAGCATAAGTATCAGATTTTTATGCCAAGTTCACAACTAAATAAAGCATTCTTCCCACTTCTCTTGTTTGGCCATATAAGGAGTTCATTTGTAAAATGCAATTCTACAATATGATAACTCAGATGTCTCTCTTCCAAATTGGTACCTTTTGTATTGCTAGCCAAGAAGAGCTGTCCTTCTTGTGAGGCCTTGGGAAGACCGGCTGGGAGTGGATAGCCCACAAGTCTTCTGGTCTCTGAAAGCGCCATAATTGAAGCTTGCATCAACCATAATAAAAATAAGCCATGAAAAATTTCACGCAATTAATGTTAAAATAGAAGGAAAAAAAAAACCACTAGTTTATTTTTGACAATGAATTCAATGGCAAAACTACCAATGAAAAGTTGTCTTCATATGTCATCACTGACAATTTTTATTTGATGACTTTAACATTGATAGAATATCTTTTATGCTACTGTATGTTGGGCAATTAAGAAACAACATGCCCAAAAACTAAGTGTAGCATAAACGAGGATATTCACATGGACATTGGGTAAAACCATAAAAGATAAACTAAGAATGAATATATTCATGAAATTGTAGGAGTAGCACTAGTAGGAAAAAAATTAAGATTGAATCGCCTTAGGTGATTTCGATATATTATAGAAGGCATAATAGTGCACCAGTGATGAACAGTAATTTGATTCATGCAGATGGTAATATGAGAGGTAGTTAAAAAAGGGCCAAAATTAAATTTAAATGACATAAATAATTTACAATCTAACGGAAAATATGACCCTTGATCGGGCATAAGAAAAAAATAAAATTCATGTATCCGATCCACTTGGGACAAAAGCTTTATTCAGTCGTAGTTGAGACAAATATAACATTATCAGAATACAAAAATGGGCGGTCTAATTAGTGTGGCTCCTACTATTGTAAGGTCTAGGGGATCATATGTGTGCAACCTTACCCTCACATGTGGAGAGACTATTTTCATAACTCAAACCCTTGGCAAACGTGAAAATTTGGATGATGGACATTCTTGTAATTACTTGATATGCTTAATATTTTAAATAAAGTGGTGTCTAGGTATGAGAAGTTATTTATTCAACTTTTCTAAAAAAATCTCTCTCCTCCTCTTTTTCTCTTCTCAAATCCTAAAGTTGTGATTATCACACTTCAACTTGTAATGCAAACATTGATTAAGGCATGAACTTTATCTAGAACATAGTAGAAGACGACATAGAGGAAAATGGAATTCAAGTAGAGTGTTAAATTGTCATCATGCCGAAGTTAGCACGTGGCGATAGGAAACCCTAAGGCTAGGGTCGGTTTTGTATGGGAAGTCCTTGGATATTCTTTAGGGGAAAATAGACATTTCAATCTAGAGTTTTTAAAATTAAAAGTTTTTGTTGCTTATAATCCATTCTACATGGTAAGAGTAAGCCTATGGGGGTTAGTTTTTTTTTTTTTTTTTGTGGCTATTTAGATTCAATTTAATTTGTCGGTGGAAATTGGCCTTTGGTGGCTTGGTTGTGGCTTTTATCAATTGTTATACATGCATTTGTTGTAGGCTGGTTCCACCCAATGCTATTCCAGTGATTTGAGTTTTCATTTGTTATTTTGGGACAGATTGTGATCATTGGAGTTCTCCTTGCATTCATCAGATTTCTAGACATATTGCATAAGATGTCATAGAGTAGCTAAATTTCTTGCACCTCTTGCAGTCCCATCTTACAGAAGGGTGTTTAAGTTAAGGTTTATTTAAGAGAGACATTTAGGTGAAGAGAATAAGGCAAAGTCACACCTACTCGTTCTCAACCAGGATTCTGTTCTGAGGGCGTCAAATAATACAAAATCTATTAAAGTTAGCTTTTGTAGAGAACACCTGTAAACATTGGTTTTAGTCGTAAATCCAAAAATTAGTCCCTACAACCTAGAAATTAGTTTGTGAAGACACAGATCCTCGTATTCCTTCATTATGATATGATGTAAACACTATGAATAAATTATCTCACAAACAATAATTTCATATGATACCATTGCAAAAGTGAGTTGAGTGTCAACACATAACTTTTGATATAAGCCCCATTTGTAATTTGATTTGGCATTAATTTCACTTGTTTTCAATTTTCATAGGTCATCAAACTTGTCCAATCAAGTATCTTCAAATTGTAAGAACATCACTCATCCAAGTGATTGCATCCTCGATTGGTTATTAAATATCAACTCATTGATCTTTTTTAATACACTTAGTGAACTTCCTATATTTAAGTTTTTTTTGGAAACCTAAGGGAAACATAAGGTTTTTTAAAAACTTATGAGTGTCATAGAAATTTTTGAAAATGTGAGGGGGCCTGGTCAATGCATGGTTTTGCCCAGGTATATATAAATGTGGGCAGCAATAACCAAAAAACCAATACAACCTTAGAAGTGGTATAATTACAATACTATAATGCTCTACCTCAAGCTGAAAATTATAGATCATATAACCTTAGCTTGAAATTAATAGCTTTTGGGAAATTACAACTAAATGCCTTAGTGAAAACATCAAGAAGTTGATCCTTAGACTTTGTAATTTCGTAGTTATACCCTAATCCAATATCTTTTTACACATGAAATGACCATCAAATTCTATGTGCTTAGATTNAACTAAATGCCTTAGTGAAAACATCAAGAAGTTGATCCTTAGACTTTGTAATTTCGCAGTTATACCCTAATCCAATATCTTTTTACACATGAAATGACCATCAAATTCTATGTGATTAGATTTTTTTTTTTTTTTGGCAAAAATGAAGTATTTCAAGCTATACTCAAAGCTGCCTAATTATCCCAATACAGGTCAACTTCGACTTAAGAAGCATGAATANTTTTTTTTTTTTTTTGGCAAAAATGAAGTATTTCAAGCTATACTCAAAGCTGCCTAATTATCCCAATACAGGTCAACTTCGACTTAAGAAGCATGAATACATATAGTAGCTACCTCTTAACTCACAAGAAAAACATGCCATCACCATATATTCAGCCTTCCCACTAGAAGTCGCTACTACACTTAGTTTTTCACTCTTCCGCAAAACTATATTCATCTCCAAAGAAATTACTATCACCTTTAGTGGATGAGTCAAGTATCCAAATATCGTTTCGAAACAGTCGAAACATCCGAAACGTTTCCGCTTCCAAGGAAATTGAAACAAATCAGTGATGGAATCGAAATTTTAATACTTCGAGATGTTCCATAATGTTTCGAAATGTTTTATTATATTTCAATGCATTTGCACAATTATTTTAGAATGTTTCAACGTATTTTAAGATATTTTGGTATATTTCGACCTATATTTTGAAAAAATAATTCTTAATTTTTTTATTTTTTTTAATTATGTTTTTGAAAGGGGTCAAAACGTTTATGTTTCTGAAAGGGGTCAAAACGTTTATGTTTCCTAGATGACCGAAACAATGCAACAAAACAAAATTTTGATCATGGAGTGAACCTTCTATCTGATAGAGAACCAGCCTCATCATCATTCGTAAAGCATTCCAGCATAATGTGCTTATTTGACTGAGACAACAATATAAGTCTAGAATCTCACTTAAGATATTAGATAATACAAACAATTGAATCCCAATGTGGTATTTGACAAGGTCCCATGAAATAATTCACGGTACTAGTTGTATAAGAGATATCAAACTAAGTAACAAGAAGGTACTTTAATTTTCCAACTAGGCAACCTATCTCCTAGAATCTCCAAATAATTCTCCTTTGTCTGCCATAAGCTTCTGATTAGTATCCATTGGAGCATCAGCTAGTAGACAATCCAAAAGACCCGTTTCTTATATCAAATCAAGAGCCTATTTACTATGACATAAACTAATTCTTGTCTTAGATCTAGTAACTTCAACACCATATAAGTATCTAAGTGTATCTAAGTTTGCGCAAATCCTCGGTATGAAGCATATCCTACAGAAAGTGTTTCAACATAAAAATGCCACCAAAGTCACTTCCAATGGTCAAAATGTCATTCTCATGTGCCATCAGAATAATACAACCTGAAACCATATAGAGTGGTGAAAAGCTGAATTGATTTGTCAGGCATGTACGAAGCCCAAAATCTAGTATTGCCTCAAAAAAATTTCCAAATCATGTTCTCGATCGTTGTTTGAAACCATACAAGGCCTTTTATAATCTACAGACACTACCACAATATCCCCCCCAACCCTCGAGAGGTGGTTCTATATAGATTTCTTTCGCTAAATCCCTGTGTAAGAGGGCATTTTGACATCTAACTAAAACAAAGGACAATCAAGATCAGAGGTCATAGAAATTAAAACAAGAACAAAAGAAATCTTGGCAACATGAGGGAAAGCATCCTCATAATTGACATCATATGTTCGCATTTAAACCTTATCCACTAGGCCTGGCATCTAAATGCTCGACGGAAGCACAAGGATTAAATTTGATTGTGTATAACCACCAAAAAGAGTGTGCTGACCCAAAATGGTTATCATTGCTATAGCCTTACGTTTCGATGCTGTTTTACACTACAGTCTATAGATGTCACCTACTTTGAGTATGTACAATATTTCTAGGGGTGCAACTTAGGTGGGTTGGGTGGGTTAAGAGCTCAACCCTACGTACAAAATCTTCAATCCTAACTTGAGTACAGCCAATTCGAACACTTTCCTCACTTTATCATCATCCAGTATTGTCTCAACCACCAATTCGAGAAAAGAAGGACCCATTCTTTCTTTCTTTCTCTCGCTTAACATAAACCCTCACTACCTCCACAACATCTTTCCCTCTACTCCTCTTTACCACATTTTGACTAACACTTTTATCCCACAACGCGGCGTCAATCTCATCATTTCAGTTCTTCAATTCCTCTAAAGCCAAACCCCCATTTCAATTCCTTTGATGGCTAAGAGAGTGATAGACAAAGAGTCAAATTAGAGAGGTAGAGAGTGACTGAGTGATGGTGATGAGAGTTTGAGGCTGGATAAGGATGAGGGTTGAGGGTCGACCAAGTGAGAGAGGCTATGAAATTGAGAGTGAGGGACAAATGAAGGCAGAGGCACAAGAAGAGACGAAGAATTTGGAACCCTAGTTGTGTATTGTGGTCTGCTTTGGCTATATATATATATATATTTTATTTTTTTTTAAATATGTCGAGTTAAGCCCAATTTATAGATTCCGGTTGAACCCAATTTTATTAATTTGGGTTGGGTTCTGGTTGAACCCATAACCCGATACCTTAACCCGGTTATTGCCCGAATTTAATTCGGGTTGGCATTTTTTGGTCTAGGCACAACTTAAGTATTAAAAAATTTATCCCAAGCCCTATTTTTCCAGAGTTAGGTTCGGGTTAAATTTGAGTTGGTTCGCCCAAGTTGCACGCCTAAATATTTCCTCGTTATCACCTCTCTTCTTGACAATAACTTTTTAAGACCACTCCATCATTGACTTCGACTCATCTTCGATTATCAATTGTTACCTCATCAACTCTCTCACCTATTATCACCATTTTCCATCATTATAGGTGTACTGTTATTGCTTGAGGCTCTCTGATGAAAGGCTCACATCATATTCCTTGTTGTTAATAAACTATACTAGAACTTGTCCTACAATCGATATAATAGCACCTCGGTTGAAAAGCTCACAACACCTCAAAAAACAAGTATATGAGCCTTGTAGGTCTCTCCAACCATCGTCTATTAGTTTTGAGTTGAATGCCTTCCCCTGATCTCCCACTCACAAGTCTGAGGGAGTCTTAGAGCTTGTCCCATATCGATATTGTATCTCCTAAACTAGTATATGAGCTATGTGGATCTCCCCATTTGATGCCTTCCTAAGGCATATTACCCCATTTGATGGTATTAATGCCTTGGCAATCCTTTCGTTTTTTGTTGCAACAAGTGTTTCTATTTTGTTCCTAAAGTTGAATATATATTGTGAAGTGTTTGAACTTGCAGAACAGTAGTGTTCCTTTCCCTCCAAGTCTAAAGAAAAAAATTTCACCTTTTGCTACTATGCATTCTACTGGTGGGATCCTTCATGTATTTCTATTTTGTCTGGTTGCCAATGGTTAATTATCTTTATCGATGATTGCTCTCATGTTGCCTGTGCATTGTTTCAACACAAAGTGAAGCCTTCAACTATTTTAAGAAATTCATGTAATGATATATATGTAATTTGATGCAAAAAGTTAAAGAGTTCAGGTTTGACGATAACGGTGACTATGTTGGTTGTGTATTTAATTTATAGCCGAATCCAAATGGAATTTTTCATTAGACTATTTGTGTTAGTTCTTCACAACAAAATAAGGTAGTGAACATAGAATTTCCTTTTATTGGAAGTTGCTTATGCGCTCTAGTTCACTATGCTTGTTCCCAAACTTTTTTGGGGATGCCCTTATTATGGCAATCTATCAAATTGATTGGATGCCCTTTCTTGTTAATTTTAAGTCTCCTCTCAAGGTTTTAGGTTTGCATTCCCTATTCCCCTCATATGTTTAGTTGCATCTGTTTTGTTCATCTTCTGGTCCGTTTGGCGTACTCTTGACCCATTGGTCTAAAATACATCTTTTTTGGTTATTCTGCCACATACACTTAGAATGGGTATCAATATTATCATCCTCTTACTTGAAGACGCTTTGTCTTATGGATGTAACCTTTTAGGAGTTCACATCATATTCTATGGTCTGAAGAGAGATTGGTGGTGAAGAGTTGATTTCTCAACCTTTGCCTCAGTTTGAGGCTAGTCTCCGAGTATATAGCCTATGTAATAGACAAATAGAAATAGTGTTCGAGGACTAAAGAGATGTTGATTTCCTTGAACAGGAAAAAAGTTAACCATGTTAATCCTTCTCATGCTAATTTCCAGTTGGATTCTTCTGATCGAGATAGTGATTCAGATCCTCTTATAACGCCTTCAATCCATCTTGTTTTGTATGACATTAACGATTAACCTTTCTATTGTGGTTTATAAGGAAGTTTGGTCTCGCATTCGATAGTCTATCGCCAATTTCGTGTCTTATCACCCCCTCTCAACTTCCTACTTTACTTTTTATCTCCTCGATGTCTTTGTGCATGTTCCAAAGGATTGGAGAGATAACTTTATAAACCCCAAGTGGAAGGCAACTAGGGTAGAAGAGTCAAAGCTCTTCAGAAGAATGCTTTAACGTAAAGCATAACGCAAGGTGGTCTCTTCAATATTCGATGTGAAAAATCCCTTCTTTCGTGGTGACTTGGAAGAGGAGGAGCACAAGGATGTTTGTTCTACCTTTTCTTCTTCTGAATAAGAAGATTGTAAGTTGAAGAAGCCTCTTTGTTGGTTGAAGTAATTCGTTCAACTTGGTTTGAGAGACTAAGTAAAGCTACACAAAACTATGGGTACAACAAGAGTTGGACTGATCTCTTCATCAGGCATATGCAATGGAAGGTTATTGTGCTCATAGATTATTGTTATTGTCATACCACGTAATGATCCTTATGAGGTGCAGGATTTGGAGTTATATTCAGCTAAGGGTTTTGAGTGGGGATAGAGGTTGCAAAATCACAGGAGGAAATATTTATTTCTTAGTGAACTACGTCTTAGATTGTTGAAAGAGGCATAAATGCTTGACAACAACCTTTGTGATACTCTGAATGAGTCGAACTATAGTCATGGTTAGAATAGTTATGATATGAAGGTCGATACATGCAAATGACATAGATTTATAGGCAAGTTGTTTTATCTCTCACATTCTGCTGGATATTGCCTATATTGTGAGCGTGTTAAGCTTGTTATGCATTGTATACAATCATTCCACTTAGATGCAGATTCTGAATTTTTTAATATCTGAAGTCAGCATCTGGAAAAAGTCTTTTACTATCAAAACATTATCCTTTGAGGCTAACTTCAAATATTGAAGATTGGACAAGGTCAGTCATGGATAGACAATCCACTTCTGGGTACCGTACCTTTGTTGGAGGCAATTTGGTGGCTTGGTGTAGTAAAAACAGTCAGTCGTTGTGAGGTCTAGTGTCGAGGATGAGATCTATAGAACATGGGGTGTTTGAGCTTTTGGGCTACATACATTGATAAATATGGCCCAATGCGACTTTTTTGATAACAAATAGATCATCAATGTTGCAAGTAACTTAGTTCAACATGATTGAACCATGTGTATCGAAATCGACAAACATTTCATTAAATAGAACATTTCACTATTACTGTGATGACTGAATAACAACTAGATGATGTGTTGAATAAATGAGTGTCGAGTAAGGTGTCTCAAAGTATGTTAGACAAGATGAATATGTGTAATATCTATAATCCAAATTGAGAGGGAGTGTTAGAATTTCTAAAATGTTTGGATGATGGGCATTATTGTAATTCCTTGATATAGTGAATACCACTAACAGAGAGGAGGGTAGAATTGACAATTCATGCATTTCACTCTATTCACAAATTTCTTCCTTCCTCTCTTTCTGCCTCACTTTTATCATATGCAACTAACCTCTCAAGGTAGCTCTATTCATTAACCTGTTAAATATCTATATACGATTAGAAAAGAAAATCATAAAAACTTAGAAAAACACAGTCACTAATGTTGTAAACTAATAATTAATACTCAGCTATACTCAAACCGAATAAAGAAGAAAGAGAGTACCTTACCAAGTTGGCATCTGGAAGTTCTCTTACAGCTTCATCAACATTTTCTGCAGTAGCTTTGACCTGGGGAGATGAACACAAGATGGCTAGATTTTTACACCAAAGTTGGCACTAGCAGGCACATAAAAGTAATATTTTAAATTGCCATAGAAATTTTTTGTAATTGCATGAAAATTTTCACTCTAATATTACTTTAATTTATCTCATAATACAGGAGTATTTCACACTTTTCTTTCTAAATAGCATTTGTCGTTGTGCAAGGGCATCCCTTACTGCATTCCATCCTAACGTCAGGAATGGTGGGATGGAACTCCTTCCTTGTTAGAGTGAGTGCCACATAGGGTCACTTCACTCACTTAAGAGATAGTTAACAAAGTCAGAGTAAAGATATAATAAGATAGATTGATTGGGTCATTCGGTCATTACCTCTCTAGCGCTCCCCCAGGCTTTTATGGCTATGGGGGGAGCGGTAGGAGTACGTTCCTCATTTCCCAATCGTAGGAGTTAATCAATCATCAATCATGAGATATCAATACGAGACTTATTACTAGTTAGAGTGAGTGACACACCAATTAGATAAAGCTTTCTAGTAAGTGATGACAATATTACAAAGAACATTACAACGAAGCCATGACAATCAAGAAGAGGACCACATAAAAAGTTGAACATCACATTAGGCATGCAGAAGAGGATGGTGCTAAGGCTAATGTTCATTTTTAAGAATGAATTATTTGGAGACAAACAGAGAGTGGACCCATATGTTAGAATGTATACTTCCTTGTTAGGTAAAATAATATTCGTTTTGACACGGGTCACTAAATTTCTCCTTTTTTTTTCTATTCTTTTCTTTCCTTGTTTCCCTTTACTTAAGTACTAGGATACACAGATACTTCTCGGACAGGTGTCGTGGCAATGTCAAACACGTGTCCAACACGGCTAGAAGTGTCTTAATAGTGAACCTAGTCGGACACTGCTAGTACACGGTTAGGACACGGTCAAGATACGCCTAAGACACGATTAGGATACGTCTAAGACATGGTTTGGATATAGTGATGAATTTTTTTTAAAAAAAAAACAACTGTTGGCTATTAAAATAGGTATTTCTTTTTAAACATATTTTTTTTTATATAACTTATACACTATGAATGTCAATGGATGTAATAATGCTTGATGAAAATTTATTTTGATCTATTTCAATTTTAATAAAAAAATTAATAATTGCTAGGTCTTATTATTAATATTGTTGTAATATATGTTTTATTTTTAACATATTACAACTCTATTATTATTTAAAAAATAATATATATTATTTTAATAGTCGTATTCTTACCGTACCCATATCCTATATGTTTGAACTTTGTTGTATCTCCGTGTCCGTATTCGTGTTTCCTACCTTATACATCAAAACATTACATTCTTCAGAGATTAGCTTAGACTTATTACGGGGAAAAGAAGAACCATAGAGTTGCTTTCAATATCATTGCAATCACCACATGAGTGGTTGAGGTGATTCACTATAGGGTCACTTGACTTAGCTCATCACAATGACCGTCTTACCAATTTTTCAAAAACTTTTCCACCATCTATGAGATTTTTTAGTTTCAAGAAGGGTTCCTCCACATGTAGATATACTTGATTCAAAGGAAACTACCAAGTGACTATTCTTGTGTTTCTCAGCTTCCAATTTCTCATAAATTCTATAGGGAATATACCATTGATGTACATGTGCCATCTAGTGGGGATTTATGTTTTTAAGACAAAGGGAGCAATTTTTGCACAGTAACCACTAGCAAATAATTTTGATTCAAAGGAAACTAACGGGCTAATTTTGTTGTAGATAGTAAATGGGTATTTTTTAAATGCTGAAAATTAAACAGAGATCTAACATTCTAAGTTGTAGTGCAACATCAAGTCTAGACGAGAACCTCCTATAATTGCAGTACTACCTTGATTTTCAGACATTTTAGCTTCCCTGTTGAGTCATGCGTATCAATATCTATAGCTATGTATTTATATGCATATATATACGTGCTTGAATATTTTGGGGGAAATATTCTATGTATTTTATATCAGACACGTTTTTTGTCTGGGATAACTAACTTTTACCTAATTGTGGTTTGGCCCAATCTTACCTCGATCGTGAGTCAGTCTGGTACGTGGTACGGATATGGGTATGCAGATGACACTTTCTTAGATACGCGGTACGATGGGGTAGCGTTAGCTGATACGATATTTTAAGTTGCAATTTGTTCTGAAAGTCTTGTCTATATTGTTTTCACTATTATACAACATTATATATCATAGAACATCAACAAAGACTAAGTTAATTACTATTTATCCAACATTTGTCCTCGATTTTCTATTATCTAATATATAATTATAAATTTATATACAGGCAGTTAATTAATATGTATATTATATTTGTGCTACATGTTCCAAAGAAAATCGATTTAGGGTTAGTTTTACAATTTATAATCGTACATTTTAGTGATTTGGATCACGAACCCACCTCGTTTGGAATCGATCTAGATTGTGGGTTGTCAAGGGTTTAGAAAATTCTGGTAACAATAGTTTGGCCCATAATCTCTTTGCCTCCCTAACGTTTAAAAATAGGCTCATAACTGNTTGGCCCAATCTTACCTCGATCGTGAGTCAGTCTGGTACGTGGTACGGATATGGGAATGCAGATGACACTTTCTTAGATACGCGGTACGATGGGGTAGCATTAGCTGATACGATATTTTAAGTTGCAATTTGTTCTGAAAGTCTTGTCTATATTATTTTCACTATTATACAACATTATATATCATAGAACATCAACAAAGACCAAGTTAATTACTATTTATCCAACATTTGTCCTCGATTTTCTATTATCTAATATATAATTATAAATTTATATACACGCAGTTAATTAATATGTATATTATATTTGTGCTACACGTTCCAAAGAAAATCGATTTAGGGTTAGTTTTACAATTTAGAATCGTACATTTTAGTGATTTGGATCACGAACCCACCTCGTTTGGAATCGATCAAGATTGTGGGTTGTCAAGGGTTTAGAAAATTCTGGTAACAGTAGTTTGGCCCATAATCTCTTTGCCTCCCTAACGTTTAAAAATAGGCTCATAACTGCCTTGTGATTTTGGACCAAAGTGTAGCCATTAGGTTTTCCATTTAAATTGTCGAAATGTACCGTACAAACATGCCAGAAATGTTAGTAGGAAATATTTTCCACCAAATTTTTGTTTTGAATGAGAAGAATGCCTCTTAATCTCTGTCTCTGTCTCACTCCAACATTGAACCAAATCAAGACCACCATAGCCTCATCCACTTAAGTAATTGTCTGGCTTTTAGAGTATAGAAAAGATTGATTTCATGAAACAGTAACAACAATGGTGCTTTGCAGCTGGTTCTGTTGTGATCTATAACAAGTTTTGTAGCAGTGACAGGTTGGTTTGTGATGATGATGAGGCTGCCGAAGGTTGGATTATCGTTATAGAGATGATTGTGGGTCTCTCTCTCTAAGTGGAAGTGGTGGTGTGTATAGTGCATCTCTCCATGTTTGTTTTGTCTGTATGATGAAGTGAATCTAAATTGTGGATTAGTTTTGATCTGAATTTGGACATAAATGAAGCTGGCAACGGGAATTTGTTAGTGGATGATTTCAGTTGGGTGTTCATCTTTGTTCGGCTGTTTCTTGATTTTGCTCTTTTTCAATTCTGTTCACAGGTCAATTTAGAGGAAGAAATTAAAAGAAGTGCTGGTCACGTCTTAGACCTTCAAGTAACTGAAAGGAACCAAGGAAAAATTCACTCATGAACTTGTTGCTAGTGGCGAATTTTATTATGTTTTTTGTTCGGTCAACTCATCATCGAGATTATCATTTTGCTGGTGAACTGAGTATTTTACGGTAAGAGATGTCTGTATGTAGGTAACAATGAAACTTTAGCTAAATGAATAATGGAACATCCCATTATAGTTTAGACCAATCTTCAATCCAGCCATAATATTTGTAGTGAGAAGAACATTGAAAAAGAAGGGGTAGTATTGTAAATTCACCTTTCCATTAACAGAGTCATCTATTTCACTTTGGTCCACAGACATGGGGATGAGTCTATTTTTAAACGTTAGGGAGGTAAAGAGATTTTGGTCAAACCACAAGGGGGAAAAAGGTAACTATCCTTTTTTGTTCCATATTTCAGCAAGTTTCACGAAGAGATTCAATTTATTTGGGGAAGTATTGTATACAGACACAGGTCCCAATTGGGAATTGACCCCCTACGGCTCCCTCTTTGAAGATGGCAGGAGACACAACTGAAGCTAAGACCATCTGGTTCACCAAAAGAATCTAAGTTGTACTTTTAAGTCGCATACAACTCAAATATCTTCAAAATTCACCAACATCATATCAGATAGAAAGCAAACTTGTCATATTAGAAAATGCTTTAGATAGGATTCGAATTAGAAAACCCCAGTCAAACTTCAAAACTGGCAACCAATGCAAAACAATCAAATGAATGTTGGGCATCATCATCTTCATTGCCACCAACATTCAATTAGTCAATCAAGATAATAGAAGAAATCGTACCAACATGGTGCTTTGTTGTTCTGAAGTCTCTGAGAGGCGGTTTCGCAGGGGTTCCACGTGATCACTTCCATCTAGTTGGACACCGATGAAGTATTGAAGCTCCCCCTGCAAACATTTTTCAAGAGACTCAACATTCCAATAGGAAAACTGCAGCATTAATAAAATAAAACTGTATTCCATATGCATAAAAGAACTTGAATAAACAGCTAGTGGTCACCTTTTGATCTCGCATAGGCTGCAAGTGGAATAAATTCCAGAATTTCTTTCCTGCAAATACAGTAATTGATACAATGATATTATATTCCTGGACCCTTAAGCAAGATGCGTCAAAAAATTGGAGCAATAGCAACATATCTACACAATACCTAAAGCAATATCTCACCACTCTTAGTGTAGTTGATCAACTGAACAGTTATTTCCCTTTGTTCTCTGATAGCATCTCTTATCTTTGAAACAGTTCCTTGATCTGTTTCAGGTCCTTGAAGAAATCTGCACCAAAGATGAAGACTATTAGATGAGACTGGCATCGCTGGAAAATAAAAATACTTTATTAACATGAGAGATAAGGGTGCAGGCTAGGTTTAGGTTCAAAAATTCAATGCACAGAAAACCACAAGTATGACTTCAGAAAAACTATACAGATATAGGTTAACTTTGAGACTTTTTGGATAAAATTATAAAATCAGAGCAACAACCATGGTTATTGAAATCCCAATCTGGATCATAGAATCTTAATATGATCCTACACGAACAAATTGATCCAAGTCTCTTGTATCATCCCCAATTCATAGGATCTTAATAAATTGTGATGACGTGATCTGGATCTTCTAAGATCGTAAAATCCCACTCTGAATTGCAATTTTACCGATTCAGGTTGTCAATTTTGTTTGTTAGGCACATTTAATTATTGAACTAACCCAATTCATAATTATTATTTCACTATGTAAAGACTCAATCCAAAGTTGATTGTTTTCTGTAGTTGTCAGTCTATAAAAGCTAAAGAAAGACTCAATCCAAAGGTGATTGTTTTGTGTAGTTGTCGATCTATAAAAGGTATAGTTGTGTGGTTGTTTTGGAATTTCAGCTGATGATAAAAGCTAAAGAGAGTTTTTTTGTTACAGAAAGCTCTCTTCATTCTTTTGTCTCTCTTGTTGAAAAGTTGAAAACAATGGTTAGGTTTGATCTCTGCTCTCAACGAGTAATTATAGCAAGATAGTCATCCATTTTCACATTCTTATGCTTTTTTCGTTTGTTTGTTTGAATGCCTATCAGTCAGTTTTTTATTCAACAAACTCTCAGCTTTTAACTCTCTCCTCCGTATTCATTTCTCTCTGAAAGTTAAGATCAAAAATTTTCAACTCTTCTATTACTCTTGACAAAATCCCACAAGATCAACAACACGCCTTGATTTTCAACCCTCTTCAAAGCTCAAAGCTCAGATTATAGTTTCACAAATTTTAACCATTTCTATAAGTTTTATATTTGTCATAACGTTCTATTTGCATATAAATTATGATACATACTACACTTATTTAATTCTTGTTTTTAAGAATTTTGTATAGTCACATGTTTTTCGTCTCATTTTTTGAGTTCGTAGGATTTTACGATTCTTAAACCAATCCTCCGATCCTAATCCTTTAGCCTCCCCTATTGATAGGATCCCAATTTTAAAAACCTTGGCAATGACAACATCTGTAAATTCTTGAGTTTGTCATCCACAAGGTTGTCGATCATAGAAAAGTTAAAATTTAACCATTCTATGCATGATCACAAAAATTCCATTCATCTACCTTCATATTATACTATCCACCTAGAAAACTTTACACCAGATGAGATGTGTTATTACAACTAGAATGCTCTAAAAGTGAAAGGTTAGTGGGAAGAAGGACATGATTGAGTTACCAACCAAAAACATAAATTATCATCCATCATCAATAGTTGAGTGAGACTTATCACTGAAACCATTTACTTAGGGCAAGGTTCACAACAAATAATGTTAGAGTATCTAACCCAAGACCAATTGGTAAAGAGTGGAAAGGGCCCTTAAGCATATAAACCACGTGCACTAATCATTCGATGTCAGGTATAAGTTCTCTTTACATGAAAAACCACAAATATGCTTAGGTCATATATAGGAGACAACTACAAAATCAAATAAAATAGGCGTGAAAGAAATAAAAATCTATACCTGCAATTTCTTCCTAAGATTTCTTCACGTGCATATTCTGTCAATTCGAGAAAGCTATCAGATGCAAATATCTGCACATTAAGGACCCAATTTCAGTGTCCAGTACAGTATGCATCTAAACGGCATCCTAAATATAAATGAACTTGCAACCTTGAAAGTGCAATGTGGGAGTTGGACAGAAAAATAAAGCACCATTTCAATGCTGGACTCGTGGAAGTTCAAAAGAAACAAAGACTAGCAAATCTTGCAGCATTTCTGATTATATTAATGGAAATAAAATCAAACCATAAACTAAATTTTTGTACACATCATGTGCAATAAATAAAAGCGGTCTGCTAAATAGTTATATTCGCTGAAATTTAACGCAAAGCAAAACCCAGTAGCGAAAGCTACCACAAATTATGTTTTCAAATCATGATCTTACAATTGGGTTATCAGGAAGTCTAGGATCCGTTATCACAAAATTTTTCTCAATGCGTTCCAACGTGGTTGCCAGGTCAATTCCTTGACGTATATCTCTTTCTCTTTCAGCACGTTCCCAACTGTTACTACGTTCTGTATCTTTAGTCATCAAAACCTCAGGTTCAATACTTGGTGGATCTTCATGCCTCCCTGCAATGCTGAAAGACCTTTTTCTGAACCTGGAGAAAATTAAACAACAGCATACATAAAAATGACATCTAACAAGGATCCATAGAGTCTATGAGCCTATTTTAACAAGACATATAAGTCTTTTCTGAGACACTTGATCTCTAAGGCCTGAAATGAAAGACAGTCTAACAAATGGAGAAACTTCAAGTGATTTCACTACAGGAAATCAATTCAACAAACTATGAGTCAGCTGACTTCTTTTTTTTGTAAGGTAAAACTCATAGTCACAGTTTATTGCCTATGTTGGGTCCTGTGAATTGAACTGCACTAATTTCCAATGCTAGCAAGCCTTCAAAGTTGAAATGTAGATTACCAAGAAATTGTTTAAAAAGGATGCCCCATGGCATGTAGCTGTTTCTGTAGCTTGTCAATTGTTTTCTCTTTAAAAAAGGTTCAAGTCAAGATTCATTGAGACTATATACAACATTTTCTTCTTCAAATAAACCAGTGGAAAACAATACAGGGAACTAGTTACTCAAACTAAAGTCTCTCCAAACACTTCTCAGAAATGATCTATTTCCTTCTATTAACACAATTGGTACAATTCTCAAATTTTAGTTCACCAAAATATCAATAGCTGTACTTCTATCATATCTGCCTCTCCATATAATGTGCAGTTACTTAAGTTTGATGCCTATTTAACAAAATAAGCAGCTATAATGAAAAATATATACATATTGGTCATGAAATGATTCAATAATAAAATTAGGCTTCAGATGAGATATTATGCCAAATAAACCATTTCATTGCATTTAACTAATTAACACAGAGCCGAATGACAATCAATCGAATATCTAAGGTCAGGAACTGTTCCCAAATTCCAATAATAGTGCAGGTTCAACAAATGACTCAAATTTTGAGATTCAAATTACATATATGGATGTGACACAAGAGCATCTAGGTTCCAGTTCCAAGCTTCTATAAAAACTCTACACTGCAAACTCGTAATATGGCCTTATATATTTTGAAGGGTTTATACTAAACCAAAAAATCAAATCAAACTAAGTCTTATGTCCTAATCATTTGTGGTCAGCTATATGAGTCCGTCTTCGTCATTTATTTCGATCATGCATTATACGCTCCTTTTAAGTTAAATATTTTCATATATTTTCTTATTATTTTGTTCAATGTTAATACAAGTCTACCCCTGCTTCTAGTACCATTAAGAGAAATTCTATCACTTTTCCAAACCGGAGCCTCTATCGGTCTTTATTGAACATGACCAAACTATTTTAATCTATTATCTCTTAACTTATTCTCAATTGGAATTACTCTTATCATTTCTCTAATACAATCATTTCTAATATTTTCACACATTCATCTTAGCATTTTCATTTTTGCGACACTCATTTTGTCATTATGTTGTTTCCTAATTGCTCAATATTCTATCCCATATAACATTGTTGTCCTTATAGCTGCTCGGTAAAACTTACTTTTCAATTTTATTGATGTCCTTCAATCACATAATATGTTAGAGGCTTTCCTCCACTTAAGTCAACTGACGTTGATTTTATGAGTTACATCATCTCTAATCTCTCCATCATTTTTAATGATCGATCCTAAATATCTAAATCGTTTAATCTTTGGTATTTCTTGATTTTCAATCTTAACTTTTTCACTATGTCTATTCCTTCTATTACTAAAATTACATTGCATATATATAGTCTTACTCGTACTTATTTTAAACCCTTTCGACTCGAGTGTCCCTCGCCAAATTTTTAACTTATTGTTAATCCCTCTTCGAATTTCATCTACTAATACAATATCATGTGCAAATAGCATACACCATGGGACATCATTTTGAATGTGCCTAGTGAGTTCATCCATAATTAGAGCGAATAGGTATGTATGGACTTAAGGCCGATCCTTGGCACAATCCTATCGTGATTGAAAATTCTTTACTTTCTTCCCTGGAAGACCTAATTGTAGTCATAGCGCCGTCAATACATGTCTTTTATCACCTCAATATACCTATTCGTCAGTCCTTTTCTCTCAAGCAAACAAATGCTTTTGAACTTCAAATAAAAGTACACAGAAACTTTTGTTCCCTTAACAATGAGGCATGAGAAAACTCTAAGCGTTAGAAAGATTTCTCAAAATATATTTAAAAACAAAACATGTAACTATAAAGTAACAGTATGTAACATCTCTCATATATTTGAAAAACTTTTGTAACTTTATCATCTGGAAACTTCCCTGACTTCATGTATACATCATACATGTTGTGTGAATCATGTGTATCACCTGTACTGATGAGTGGGTGCCACATGATACAATTTAGATGTATACACCATATTTTCCTATTTTACCCTACCAATTTTTGTTTGCAATAACACAGCTCATATCCACATTCTCAAGCTTAGCAGCCCAATTTCATGAATGCCCCTTTCAACAACCTGCATTGGCAAAATCCCTATTGGAAAATTGCCCTTTTTAGATCTACAAGGAAAGTTTGACTGATTCAGTTTCCATTGGATATCCAAATATACATCTGAACTGATTTTAATTTCGCATTGGAAATCTCAGACTAGCTTTCACAAAAAAACAAGACTAAACTGACCTGTAGGAACCAAGGTTCTGTCCTTGGTTCTAACTCTATTGAATGAGAGGAAACTGATCTCTTCACAACGGTGTTTAGAAGTTAAAATGCAAAAGCCAAGATAGCAATAGGAATTTGAGACATTAATGTGCTCAAGCTTACTAAGCAAACATATTCTTGGGCTAAAAACCAAGAAGTAACAGACTAAGCAATTTGTGTGCAATGCTCATTGGTGTTTTTGGTTGCCCTTCCATTTTCTTTCTTGTTCTCCTTATAATAAGGTAAGCCCGCATCCCAAATTAGTAAATTTTTAATTGTGGTTAGTTAAGATAGGCAGGGATGAACACTCTATCTCCTCTCTAACTCGTCTCTTATATAATCTTGAATATAGAGATAGGAAGTTCTATGTACAAGTTTCCTCAGTGCTTACTAATTCACAACATTGGAGCCTTTCAATCATCCCATCAATCTTTGGGTGAGTGACCCAAAAATGGAGTTATTTAACACAGTATAGACAGGTGACACAGTCTTACATAATTCAACACATAAAACGGGACAGCTGTAATTGTAAGAAAGAAAATCTACCATCCCTGGCATTGCCAATGTGTCTGACACACCAGGCAATAAGAGCATACACTCTGACTTAATGTTTCTATAAGCAACAGTTAATTCCAGAAATATCATCACATAGCGAAACTATGGAAAGCATATTGAGAAAAATGACTCACCCCATTAATGAAATGCGTCCTGATTTTCTAGCTTTTTTTTCAGACTCCTGATGGGAACTTGAGCGAGATAGATCACTTCTAAAGTACAATTGAGGAGTTTGTCTACCAGGTGTACTCATGCTTTCAGTTTCAGCAGAGCTAGGGAGCATAAAATTGAGGTTTAACTTCTCATCTTCATGTATGCTAGTTGTTTCTTGATTTACCGACTGAATGTCAGGTCTTGGATGCTTCAAAGTTTGTACAACCTCTATGATGGAACCTAAAGCCTCTTCCTTTTGACGAGCTGACACATGGAAGATAATGAAAATGTTAAAATGCAGCCAGAGTCATTTTCACAACCAAATTCCATAGTTTTATTTACCATCATAACGGATTAGCGACTTAGGCAATCCATTTGGTCGTAGTGCCTTGTCATACACACCTTCTGTGTATTTGCTAACCTCAACCTGCATTCTGCCAAATGGTATTGAATGTACCATATAGAGTCACAATTAGAGCCTAACCAAGGAAGCACAGTGCAAGAAAGCACTTATTACCAAAATAATGGACAGCCATAATAAAATATTCTTCATTGTGCCATTGCCAGGGCCTTCCTAACCCACTTGGAAATCAAGACTAATACCTAGACAGAGGGAATCACTCCAAAACTAGTGGTGGGGCCACATTTAAAGGTGTGGGGCCACTTGCCTCCACTGAATTTTGAGGAAAACTCCATATATATTACTGCAAAGTATAACTATTATGAATTTATTACATTGCCCCTTAGATTTTTGAAAATTTCTATAGTGGCACTAATTCATTTTACTGTTCAGTAAGTTAGTGCCTTAGTGGTCCACTAACCCCAACCTACTAAGATAAATATTTTATTTTGGACGGAGTAAAACACATTTTATGCCCTTACTCTTACATATATTGACCAAGATATTACATCTTTTATTTGATACACTTCCCCTTATTGTTCTCAAAATCAATTGTATAGTTACCTCTGATTCTTTTTTGGTAGGTTGATAGCTTATAACCCACCACCATACAAATAGATGTAAATGATAAAGTATACTAAACCAAAAGCATTTATGCTTTTCACAAAAACAAAAACAATTTCTCAACAAGATGAATGATACTTTCAACTAGGCTTTGCAACAAAATGAAGCACGATTTTGCCACAAGCTCTTTGATTTTGCACATTAACAAGAAATTTCTGAGAAATTTAGCACAGGATTAATCAGTTATAAATAGTTCTTGAGATTCGTAAAATTCTCAACTAAGCTAGGGGCTCACAGCCTATATGTGGCTCCGTCACTGCACAGGATTTGCATTTCTAAACTCCAGGTTTGCATAATATACTACCACATTTAGGATTTTGTGTGAAAGAAAATCTGATTGAAAACATAAACTGACCAATGTATTTATATTAATGACAAGAAGAAACAATGGGGGGGGGGGGGGGGAGAATAAAATCTATACCCTATAAATTTGATAGCCCTTCCACTGTCATCTTTGATAGGGCTGATTGTCAGGAGATTCCAAAAACGAGTGCCATCTTTCTTGTAATTCAAGAGCCTCCCACAATAACTTTTTCCTGTTCTGACAGCACTCCGTATCTTCTCCACTTCATTTTGGTCTGTCTCTGGCCCCTGTAGAAAACGGCTGCACACAACAAAGGGACACCGCCTTAATTCCATTCCCAGCTTTTAAATTTTCCAACATACGTGAAATTCTACACCATTGTTACAAGTAAGACAACATTTTTCTAAATACCTTGATATCAAAAACTAGTGTGACCACTGCTCATGCAGCTGTTATCATGGCAAAGTTTTATAAGTTGAAAGGTTTCCATCTCCTTCATCAATGCATTGAAGGCATTGGGCAAACCTTGCTATTTTACTATTTGGGCAAATTTGTGAACTACTACTATTTTTATCCCCATATCTATATAATAAATCAGATAGGTTTTTTAACATATGAAGAGTATATTTTCCCCTCTAAATTTCACACACCCAGCACACTTTCCCCCCAAATTTCACAAATCTAACACACATACTCCACAACACACAACTGCACATACTTACACACACTCCAACACACTGTCTAATGCTTGTACGGTATCATAATTCAGTGTACAGTTACTTTAATCACAGGATATCGCTAGTGCATTAATATCACGGCAAATCATTTCAAAGAAAACAATCCTTTCATTAGAAGAAAAACAAAAAAAATTCATGATAATAATAACTAGAAAGAGCGGTGGCCAATTGCCAAAGCCATTCTAATAGCAACCGCGCATGCGGCCCCCTGGGGGACAGGGGCTTCATGTCTCCATGAGTACAGCACTCTTACAAGCTGTAATTCTCAAGTAGTAAAAGGGGGAGGAGCAGGCTTTAGTTGATCCTAGTCTCATCTATACTACAATTCTAAAGTAAAAGTAACATGAATTGAACACTTTCACAAGCTAGTTTCATGGACACAGTTCTTCACTACCATTTCTACTTGTCTGATCAAAGAGACAAAAAATTGATGCCAATGCTTTTTTAATAATCTGATTTCGTGACATTACAGTTTAACAAAATACAAAATATGATTCAATCTATTCTCATCACATTAGCATAAGTGGCAACAGACCATACTGGTCAAGTTCAGTAATAAAAAATATATGACTGGGCTACTAAAGGTTAACTTACGTGATTTGTGCATTTATATGTATACATACAGAACTAAATCAAAGAATGTAATCCTTACCAATTCTTTCCAATAACCTCCTTTGAAGAATAACCAGTCATGCTGAAAAAGCCGCTGCTTGCATACATGATAGGGCAATCAGGTTTAGTGGCATCGGACACAACAAATGTCTGTTGCAGCGTTGCCAAAGCGTCCTTCAAATCCTGAGATACCCTTGGGAATGCAGATCCAACTATTGAGTCCTCTGATGTCCTGATTGATTCGACTGCCAATCTCTGTGACGAATCCTTGCTTTTTTTATCGCCTCCCTCAAATGAATTTCTTGCATTCATACTTGTTCCACAGAAACTACCTTCTCCCACGTCTGTCCTCACCACCAGTCCCCATTCTGCAGTCCTTGCTGCTATGTTAGCTTCCGTTAGAATCCGATCGCCTGTTTTATTCACATTGCCATTATCTTTTCCTCCTGCTCTGGCCTTTCCATTCAAGTCTGCAATGGGAGCGTCAGCAGCTCCACTGGCCTGCTCAAATGCCATCCACTTATTGACAGACTCTCTGTCAGTGGTGGAGATCCCGAATGCTTCACCTTGCGCTTGAAGTACTTGCACTTCTACACCCTGACCCCTACTGCCACCTTGCTGTCCTATGCCTTGTTCCAGTGAAGTTTCAAAGACCTCAAGAGGTTGCCTGTGGTCTCTACTAGCAGCTCTTGATGACTCCATCCTCAATTTTCTCAGATGAATGAGTACAGAGTATTTACTCCACCACCTAATAAAATATAAAATGAAATGAGCCCCCTTTTTTTTCTTATAATAAATCAAAAAGTTACTCCCAGATAGCAGAAAACTAAGCAAAAAAGTATCGTTGACGAAAAGAGAAAATTAACAATCACAGCGTCTGCAGCATTCAACAAGTTGGCAAGAAATAAGGCTGACAATTGAACCTTGTTAAAGAAAGCAAGGAACAATTACTCTAATTGTTGACAATATCATGTACAACGATAACAAAAGAGAATAATTGAATGATGATCAGTCTTCACACAAAAAAAAAAAGCTCAGATCATTTTAATTAAAAGGGTAATCAAAAGTGAAAACAACCTGGAATTTCATTGGTTCAGAAATGCACCCGCCCAAATGCTCTGTTGGTGAACTCCAAGTACTCCAAGAGTGGAGAGTAACTAACAACCAGAAGAAGAGATAGGTGAAGATAACGTTCACACCATAAATAGGACTCCCAGTCTTCTTGCCATGTAGCCAAATTACGACCGTTATTTTAGTTGTGTCCGTACGTGCGCCAACAAGGTTTTTCACTTTTTTATGGAAGCAAAAATATACCAAAAGACAAGACTGCCCTTTATATCAAGTACCTCAACCTGATTCCCTCGGCCTTCCCATTCCAGAGTAAGCCGCCTCCAAAATCTCAACCTCTCTCTCTCTAGCCTCTTACTTAAATAAGATTCACATTGTGCCGTGTCCTTGTACGGTGCCTCCAAGCTATAGATTGTTCCCCAATCGAATACAAAGAACCACAACTCATACTATATTTGATGGCATACGCAGACATCATAGCAAAACTCTAATACCAATTGAAATGATCAATAGATAACACTCTCACTTAAAAATGGACTTGTAAAAGATAGGTACACAAGAATTCGTGTTTACACAGATAGATCTTTACTTAACCGATCATAACACTCTCCCAACTTGCTCTCCCATCCCCTATAAACTTCAGGATGGTGACTCTATGGAAGCCCAAAAGTCTGTTTTGCTCTATCTCAGTAGCAGTAGCCCCACCTTTTCTCTTGCAAAATCTACATTATTGACAAGGTAATCATTACCAAAGGAAGGATTCCGAAAGTTCATTTAGGGGATAAAAGTAAGTTTTTTGAAGAAATCGAATGGCGAGCCCGTGTAATTTAGGACTTATAAAAGGGGTTTGTCAAATTTTTTAGGGGTTATGGCTCTGCACATCCCTTCTGATCCATCATTGACCTCTAGGGTTTTTGGAAAATTGGATAAAGGGTTTTGTTGTACAAGACCACAGCAATCGCACAGCTGATGATGAAGTAATTTTTATTTTATTTTATTTTTTTGAGAAAGACGGTGGAATAATCGATTGCTGTGTTTTTGGAATAAGACTACAAAAGATTAGGGGACCAATAAGTTCTATTACCCCACACCATTTAAGTCCCATTTGACCAAAAAAAAAAAGGTGGGTGATAAAATGTCAATAATTTTGAAAAAAGAGTAATGCAATTTAGATATCAAAATTTGATATAACTTGTCGAAATCATGATGTCATTTTATTGTAATAATTAAATTAATATTAAATTTTAATATTTAATAGAGTTTATATTTAATTTGATGATTATAGTGAATTAAAACAATAAATTAAATTTAAATAACATTGCTCTTGGAAAAATTCTGTCGCGATGGTACGAGATTTTGCAATAGAACATAGCAAACTAGGAAGACTAATACGATTAATTCTACACACTACTTCTAAAAATGTCTAACTTTTAAGGAGTGAAATTTAACAATCAACTTGAAGAATCCTACTGCAATAATATGGGATTTTACATCTTTTTTGATAAAAGACATGTACAAAATTAAACACATAATATTTTATTAAAATAAGTCCCAAATTAAATTTCCTCCACCTTTGAAACATTTTTTTTCCGAAAGTGGGACAAATAGATAAATTTTGCATGCCTTTCTCGACAACTAGTTTTTTATTACTAAAACAAAAACATGTTAATGATAAATAATAAAAGAAAATACTCACAAAATATATATATATATATATATATATATATATCTATCTTCGACGTGGGACTTAAGTTTTGCCTATACGGATTGTGTATGTCCCATAAATTAGACATGCTCTTAACATGAAAAATCACATTCTTGTTAACGTTTTACATAAGAAAAAACCAGANATATATATATATATATATATATCTATCTTCGACGTGGGACTTAAGTTTTGCCTATACGGATTGTGTATGTCCCATAAATTAGACATGCTCTAACATGAAAAATCACATTCTTGTTAACGTTTTACATAAGAAAAAACCAAATTAAACTATTAAAAATTATTTTTTAGTATCGTATAAAATGTCACCATAAAAAAATACGATATTATGATAAAAATAAGAGTTTTTTTTTATATCGATTCTAATATTTTTATACTATTATTATAAGATCAATCTTAATTTTCACTCATAACTAAAGTGAATTGAGTTCCAAATGATCTTTTTGTAGTCGTAATTTCTTTGCAAATTAATTATAAGAGAGTTAAGAAATACAGGGTACAACAATTTTTTTTTTTTTTTTTTTTTTGGGTGAGAGCAGTAGAGCAACATATTTGTAGACGAGTCACCACGAGGGGGAGGCTAATGTAACAGTTTGCCAAATGAAAGAGGGCAATTTAGTCTCTTCAAAAGTATTTTTGACCCCAAAGGATAAAGTTAACAAAAGTAAACTGAGTCAATTTCGAGAACGTAATAAGACCGATATTGCCAAAAAGGGTAGCAGAGTTATTTAATTATTTATGTGGCTACAATATCTCCATCTGGTACAGCCTTAGCATCAAATTTCGCCATCACTTCAATAATATCAGTCCTTTGTTAAAGGACCACTACCCTGAAGTCACGTCATACCCATATCATTGTTCAGTATATTGACCTAGGAATAATCGATGTAGAGATAATATGCATAAAACATAAAAATTGGAAACTATAATTATATCTTTAAACTATAATTAAAACTAAGGACATATGGCATACACGGTTTTTGGACCCATCTTCCATCCTGACCAAGTATGAAGTATCACTCTCTCATCCCCCACCCCCACTATGGCCTCTGGATAGGAGTATAATTTGGGCGGATTAACCTAAGTCCAACCCCAAAAAATTAAATATAAAATGTATTGGAGCTTGGGTTAGAGTTTTTAATATTTAGGTTGGGTTTAGGTCAAAAAACTTCAATCTGAATTCAATTTAAGTGGGCCTCGGATTGAGCCATCGAGTTTACGGGTTGAATCCGAATATTAAAATCTGGTTCAACCCAAATTAATACTATATACATACAATTTTATCTTAGGGGTTAATCTCAACTCAAGTCTGCGTCTCCCTTAAACTCTCAGTCACTCTCAATCTTTCACTCTCACTCTCAGACCTATTTCTCACTCTCAAATCCTTCTTCTTTGTGCCTCCTCCCTCTCTTAGCCTCCTCCGTTAGTGTCTCAAGCCTCAACCCTCTCTCCGCCTCCTTCATCTTCGTCAGAGTTTCAGCCCTCTCAATCTCCTTCGTCTTCGCCTGTGGTTGTGTAAGGATTTTGGTTGTGTTCTGTACGGTTGTGGTTGCATTATCTCTCCAATTGAGTACTTAATAATATGATTTTTATGTTAAAAACTTTATTGAAGTAACCCAAAATTAGTTCGTAAAGTAACTCAAAATCAATCCAAAAATCATTCATTCGAATTCACCCCCGACCCTGTCCGAATTAAACTCGGCAGTGCTCAGGTTGAGTTTCTCCACCAGAGGTAGGGTTAGGGTTAGAGTTAGAGTTATGATTAAAGATTATATACTTAGGGTTGGACTAGAGTTGAATGTCCAACCCGTTCAATTCACCCGAGTTGCACCACTACCTGTACCCAACCCATCGACCTCCCTTCATCCTTCTCTCTCGGGTCATTTAAGATGTGAGAAGAATTATTAGACAGCACAGTCACGTAATATCTAATTGAGGTTTTTGACTTGTTAAGGACTATTTTTTTATGTCTAGTACAAAAGTTTTACCTCTGATAAGAATTAAACTCATTGATTTTCTAAAGAAGTTCTAGGGTAGTTAAAGGTATTTTGAGGCTTAAAACGGTATACTAAATGAGGTTTTTTTATTTTTAATATTATTTAAAAAAAAATTAATTTTTTTTAAGTAAGAGAGGATGATGTGATATTTTGTTTTTGTTTTTTAAGAGAGAGAGAATAAATGTTAGTAAATATAAGTTGACTTTTAAATTTTTTTGTATTTGTTTTTAAAATTTTTGATTTTTGAATTTCTAATAATATGAATTGAATTGTAAACCCAAATTCTTGAAATTATAATTTTTTAATTGGGCTTAATTTTTTTGGGGCCTTTTTGTAAGACCTAACATTTTCATAAATTTAAATTTTTTATGTGTACTAGTTATGTATCTAAAATTATAAGACCTTTTAAAAATTTGGGACCTAAAGCCCATATTTTTTTTTAATAATATTGGGCCGACCCTGAGAAGATCAAAAGTTTTGATCATCCGAATTAATTCTTAGAAATTGTTATTTGCTGTCTTGGATTTTTTGTTCTAATTCTCGTCCTTTTTATTATTTGTAAACTCTTGAGTTTATTGGTGCAATAGATCACACACATTGTCTCTAAGTTACAACAATTCAATACACTAATTCGAAAAGTAGAAATTTCACACACATACATTACTTTTACTAAAAAAGGTATAATACCAATAAGAGAAGAAAATGAACACTAAAAGAGAAAGAACAACAAAAAGTAAGCAGAGAATTGGTTTGAAATGGGATCATATCGTCTAAGCAAGGTCTCTATTTATAGGTGAACCAGCCTTGGGGTTTAAATGCGAAATGAAATTCAAAATTCCAATTTTTGAAATCTAGTATAAATTGAAAAATTAAATATGAAATGTATAACGGAATTTTCTGAACGAAATTGA